AGGTATTAGATATATACTATTTTAGTAACTAATAAGAGGTAAGAATTCTAACTAATTAGCTAATTTATAGCTATTTTTTAGAGATCTATAAATTTAAATATTTTAATCTATTATTTGAAATATAATAATCTTTACTTTACTTTAATAATAATATAAAAATTAAATTTTAAATATATATAAATATTTTTTTAAAATAAAAATTATAATAAATAAATTATTATAAATTATATATTTTATATAAAATATATTATATAATTAATATATTAATACTATTATTTATATATATATTTAATTTAAATATATAAATTAATATATATAAATAATATTTTTTCTATTAATATTAAAATTAATAAATTAAATATTAATAAAAAATTTATTAAATTAAATATTAAAAATAATAAAATAAAATTTTTTTAAATTATATAATTATATTTTATATAATAATTACTATAATTTAATTTTAAATTAAACTATTTTTTATTATATAATAAATATTTATTAAAAATTATTTTATTAAATATTAATTTTCTTTATTTAATAATTATATATTTAATTTATTATTTTAATTATTTAATTATTTTATTAATTATATTATATAAAAAAATTTTTATAAAAATACTTTTTATTATATTTAAAATTATATAATATATTTTTTTCTACTTTTTATAATTTTCTTTATAATTTTCTTTATTTATTATATTATTATATATTAGTATTATTAAATTTAAAAAATTTTAATATTAAAAATAAAAAAAAATTATCTAATATATCATTTATATTAAATAAATTTAATAAATTAAGTATATTTTAATAATTATTTAAAAGAAAATTAGTAATAATATTTATAAATTAATTTTAATAAATAAAAATATATAATAACTAAAAGAAAAAATAAATTATAGAAAAAATTTATTTTATATTTAATTATAATATAAAATATAAAATTAATAAAATATAAAAATATTAATTTATAATTTTTTTTTTTAATTTTTAAAAAAAAGAAATTATAAAATATTAAAATAAATAATTAATTATAAAAAAGATAATTTAAAATTATAAATTTTATAATAAAATTCTTTTATTTAATAAAAAATAAAATAATTTATATAAAAAAAAAAGAAAAAAAATAAAAAAAAATATATTTATACTATAATAAATAAATAAAAAATAAAATAAAAATAATAAAATTAAAGAAAATTATTATATAATATTATTTTTTTTATTTTTAAGTTTAATTTAAATAATATATTTTATAAAAAAAATAAATAAAAAAAGTTAATATTTATAAATAATAAATATATTTTTTTATTATTAAAAATAATAATATAGAAATTTTAAATTAAATAATATATATAATTAAAGTTAAAATATATTATATCACCCCCAACTCAAATATATATTTATCAATAAAAAATACTATTATATAATTAATCAAATTAAAATATTAAATATATATTATTTTAATAATTAATAGAAATAAAAATTTTAATTAATTAATTAATTTATAATTATAAAAATATTAAAATAAATAATTAAATTATTATTAAAAATTATTATATTATTAAAAAACTTTTTTAGCTTTTATTAGTAATTTAATAAAAATAATTAAGTTATTATTTAAAAAAAACTTTAAAAATAAAATTAAAAAAATAAAAAAATTTAATTAAAAATAAAATATAAATATTTTAAATTCTATTTTAAAAAATTTTTAAACTATTAATTTATTATTTTAAAAATTTTATTATTAAAAAAATACTATAATCTCTTTTTCTAAACTATTTTAATATTAAAATAATTAAAATTTAAAAGCTATTTTTATTCTTTTAAATAAAAAAAAAAAAGAAAATAAATATTTAGTAATTTAATAAATATAATCAATCTTTATTAAAAGTTTGAAAATTTAACTTCTTTTTATAGCTAGTAAAGCTATTTATTAAATATTAAAGCTTTTTAATTATTTTTAATTAAAATATTTATATTTTATTTTTAATTTAATTTTTCTGATTTTTTTAATTTTATTTTAAAAAATTTTTTTTAATATAGTTTAAATTAACTATATTAAATTACTAAAATAAACTAAAAAAGATTCTTAATAATAATTTTAATAAAAGTTAATTATTTTTATTAAACTATTAAATATTTATTTTCTTTCTTTTTTTATTTAAAAGAATAAAAATAATTTTTAAATTTTAATTTTTTTATATTAAAATAATCTAGAAAAAAATATTATAGTACTTCTTTAATAATAAAATATTTAAAATAATAAATTAATAATTTAAAAATTTTTTAAAAAAGAATTTAAAATATTTTATTTTATTTTTAAATTAATTTTTTTAATTTTTTAATTTTATTTTTAAAGCTTTTTTTAAATAATAATTTAATTATTTTTACTAAATTACTAAAAAAAGCTAAAAAAGCTTCTTAATAATTTAGTAATTTTTAATTATAATTTAAATATTTATTTTAATATTTTTATAATTATTATAATATTTAAAATAGTAGGTTAATAGTTTAAAAATTTTTTAAAATAAAATTTAAAGGATTTATATTCTATTTTTAATTTAATCTTTCTAATTCTTTTAATTTTATTTTCAAAGCTTTTTTTTGGTGAGGGCTTAGTTATCTTTTTAATAATAACTTAATTATTCTTTTAATAATAGTTTAGTTATCCTTTTAAAAATAGCTTAGTTATCTTTTTAATAAAGGCTTAGTTATTTTTTTAATAATAGCTTAGTTATCTTTTTAATAAAGTTTTAATTATCTTTTTAATAAGAGCTTAATTATTATCTTAATAAGGGGCTTAGTTATCCTTATTAAGCCACTAAAAGAAACTAAAAAAGAAGCTAAAAAAGAAGTTAAAAAACCTTATTAATAATAATTTTAGTAAGGGATTAATTATCTTTATTAAGCTACTAGATATATACTATTCTAGTAACTAATTAGAAGTAAGAATTCTAACTAATTAGCTATTTTATAGCTATTTTTTAAGAATCTATAGATTTGAATATTTTAATTTATTATTTGAATTATTTGAAATATAATAGTCTTTACTAATGCTTCGATAATTATATATAAAAAATAATTTAAATATATAAAATATACTATATTAACTTTCTAAATAAATAATAAAAAATAAATTTAATATATAATTTATATAATATTTATTATTAAAATATAATATATAAAATATATATAATAAATTAATATTTATTTAAAATATAGATTAATTAGCTAATAAGCTCTAAGTTAGCTAGAGGTAGAAACTATAAATTATATAGTGTAACTACTTATCTGCCTCTAAGCTAGCTCTAAGCTATTTATATTTTTACTAATATCAAAATAATTAGCATAGAGAGTTTTCCGAAGTATATAATTGCTATAAGTTTGCAAACGCTTCGGGGGGTCTTTGGTTGGGTACGAATTAGTAGCGAGTTAACTCGCAACTAACCCCTTGTCTGATGACCCAAATCGTATCTTGAACTACGATACTCCATATAATATGTTTACTTTTGATCGCTCAATACAAGAAGCAAGATAAAGGCACTTATAATCACTTTTTAGCCACCAGAGCTGTTCGATATCAAAATTACCGCGACTTCGAGTGTTGCTCCTCGAACGATGGAAAGACGTCTCTATTTTCCTAATTTGGGCTTGGACCTTCCAATTTTGATTCCACGGGACTTTTGGCCCATCAGGCAGTTCACGTAATCAGGAGGTATCTATGTAGATGACATAAGCAACGCTCCGCCAGAAAAAAAGAAAAAAACAAAAACATCAAAAAGGACATGATGACGAGATAAGACTGTGAACAGGGACTTATAGAAGTTCTCTATACACCATGCAGATCGATCATCGCAGCAGTTCTTACTCCGTGCAAAAGATGCAAATCTGACCTTGACTGGGAAGCTTTTATTTCATCGTGGAGAGTGAAACTGCCAGCCGATACCCAACATTGGTACAAAGGACAGTGCCCTCGTATCGACCAATACGGCGTGCATCCATTGATTCCGAGTATGGAGATGGTTACGAAGTTTAAAAGTAGTGAGAACATTCCCTCCTCTGCTTCCTGAGAAATACAACAACGAGTCGAAGGATATAGGGGTGTGAAAATAGCATCTCCGTTGACATGTTGTTACCGTTTACGCACCGGGCATATAAAGATCCCAGCTTCCTCAAATCTCAGCCTTAGTCGAGAAGGTTACTGCTATCTGATCTGTACGGTCGAAACCTAAAGACCAGATGTTTACTCTGTACATTCGCAAGTTGACAGTGGGGGTACGAATAAAGGACACTTCGAGTCAAGTACTTCGACTGCTCTGGGGGTCACAGCGAGAGTTTGCTGGTACCGTGAAATATATATTACTATTATTGAGATGAGTGGCCATCAATTTGCCATGTATAATCTTGGTACTTCAATGCTGTGTCATATTAAGCATGTATGGTTGCGCCAACAAGAAGACCAGCACCAGCACCAGCGCCGGCTCTCATGCGGTTACAAATTCAGCACCGAGATTTGGAAAAACATGGAAAATGAACAAGGGACAAGGACAAGGGAAAAAAGAAAAGCGAACAACAAATCAAAACAAAACATGCTTATTTAATTGAATCAGAACCCCGAGTACAACGCACGTTTATTTAAATCTCCATGACTCCACGCTCTTATAATTGAACAACAATTTTGTCTCCCTGGAAAGCAGATTTGGAAAGGTATCTCGGTGAGTATTGACTATTGTCACGTTCGTCAAGTTAGCTAAGCCTCCTTGACCATATTGGCTGGGTTGACCATACTGGAAATATATGCTTCCTGCAGCTTGATCTTTGCACTGCTCAATATAGGTATCTAAATCTTCTTTCGCTTTACCATCGAGCTTGGGGAGGCGGGCCTCTGCTGCATTCACAATCCGATAAGAGTCTTCTATCAAACCCACCGTGTAGTCCACTGCGGCCTGGACACTCATGCCTTTGTGGACCAAAAGTAGGGGGATTATATTATCGAACTGGCAGTCTTTCTAAATATTCGCCGACGATGCGGTTAGCCACTGAACCCTATTGATATGATCTCCGAGACTACTTACAATCTCTTTCTTGACTGAAAATATGTCGTTCATTCTTCACGTCACCGTCACAATCGGTCAGCATTGTCTCATTACCACGGGAATGTTGATACCCACAAGCATATGATTCGGACAATATGATATCTTATTGTCTGCACCGACTCATGCCTCAGCACCTCGTCAGATACCTCAATGTCGGCGGCGTAACTATATTTCATATTAGCTGTGGTTGCCATTTGCATACTACGGCATCTGACTTACGATATCAAGTCAAGTGTTGGGTAGACCCCGATATTGATTATCCTTCCTTCAATGTATTCACCCAGTGACGGCAAGTATTTCTCTCGCTGTTTGCTAACTTCCATTAAGCAGTCGATATATTCAACTGTCGTCTTTTGAAACTGGGCTTTGGATTCTAGAAGGACATACCAAGATTAGCCTTGCACATTATCTTCAGTCTTAGTGGAAGTATTAATGGTCTATACTTACCGTTTGACCATCCCACAGCAAGCTTGGGACCAACGGTACGGTAGATGATGCAGCTTGGGAGAACATATGGCTCTGGGCCGCTGCGGTTCGGGTCAAGCCAGTGTTTTACAAAAGCAGAGGGATCCTGCTTCACAAACTCTTCTGACGTGAGAAAACTGTCCACATCTAACGGTAGGACTTGTTAGTATATGTTTGAGATTCGTTTTTACCCGGATGGAGGGCTATGATCATTACCATCGTCAAAAGCAAAGAACTAAAAAAAAATAAAATTAGTGGCGGTTCCTTATCTCTCGAAGCATTCTTTCAAGAAATTAATACATACCCATGCCATCTTCTCGAAGAGAACTTGCAATTTTTGTTCCGTCGTCCGAGGGAAAAAACAAGCAATGCATAAACTCAAGTCAACCTTGACTGCCATCTCTCGCAAGTTGTCTCTTTCGATCCATCTTCATCAAGGAAGTTGTTAGACTGGTGCCTCTGAGAGAACCCAATGTGGCACGGATCCAACATACTTTTTCAAGAATTCTCCCTCCTCAGCTTTTATCTTGTCATACGCCGGGTTGACTCCCATATACCATCCTTTAAGGACATTCTCAAGGTGAGGGATTGTATATGAACTTCCTTTGAGGAGTTTTAATATATTTTCCTGCTGAATATGGTAGTCATCCTTCTTAGGACTGCTTGCAGGCGACTGAAGAAGTGCAGACAGTCCCCAGATTTTCGAATGTGGTGCTTTTATGGCAGATACAAGCCATCGAAAAATAGCCGGGAACGACATGATGGGAGCAATTATCAGAACAGTGGAGGCTGAAATTTTATATCGACACCCTTCCCATAAGTCAGGTCGGACGTGGAGTTTATATAAAGTATGAGCAAGTACTACCTACCCCCTTTCCCCGCTGGATGATTTCGTTTCCATTCATTTTCAGTCCAGTTTTTAAACTTTAAGATGATGAATGTATTTTAGGACACTCGGTCCTTGGGGAATTTGAAAAAGCGCCTTCAACTTCACGCGGGCAGCAAACGAAGCGCTGAAAATAACAAATCTACCCTACGTGGCCCAAAACCTGTGGGCCTCCTCCATCCCACGACCATGGTTCCAATTGTGCTGGGGATGGTGTCTCCGCGCATGTTCTTGCAAGTTCAACCGTGCGAGCAACGATCATGTCAATAACATCTTGACTGGCCTCCTTGTTCCGCGCAGCTGACAAACACGAAAGTTTACAACCGAACCATCGACACCCGAATTTACCATAATTGCGCTTGTTTACCCATACGCTTTGTAGATACGGCCATTCGCCCGTATTCTCGACTTCTGAGGAGATTGCTAGACTCCCCGTCCTTGCCAGATTGCCAGGAAAGGACTAGTCTTGGGCCATAAACATCCTTCTTGTTCCCAGGAAAACGAAGATCCTGACCGCACATCCCTTTTTTTATCACAATCCTCAAGCCATTCCGCTTACGAGGCCCCGCAGCTGAAGTTTAGCATACCAAGAACTGGCAATATGAGACCCACGAGCCCGGACGGAGTACAGCGGTCGTTTCGTTCGCCCTTCCTCGAAGGCGTTTAGGCCCTTTGAAGAACGAACTCCGGGGAGGCTCGAGATTTGACCTTCATTACGCCATGGCAACACTGAAAACCCAACACAATATGTACTGTGCCACGACAGAAAGTTTGAGATATGTAAACAGTTGCTCCATATATATATATATAAAAAGAAGTTCCGGTATGACTTTATAACACTGGAACGGAAATCTCCATTTACAACCCTTCAATATTGCGATGCAGGCTTATCACGGGCGAAAATCAGTCTTTATTTGGAGGCAAGGATCAGCTACATTACTGGATTCACGGACAAGTTGGCACGCTGTGCCTGCTGAAGATGGTTGAGGCTGTCAGGGAGTCTAAAAGCTAGCTATAAATCCGCGCTGGTGGATGCTGGGACGGGGTGAGCCTTCGCCAACAGGCCGAAACCCTGGGGACATTGAGGAACCGGCTGCATGTTTTCTTTCTAAGTTTACAAGTGCGTATAACAACTCCCATACTCCAGACACGGTACCGGAGATGGTTGAAAGTGGGCCAAGGTCACTCTCCAGAGTTTGATATATGTCCAATTTATAAACGACGATCCTGTCTTGAAGACAAACTCTTGCAACTTTACACAAACTATGAAGCATAAAAGGAAAAAAAAAGAATTCCACAACCCTGAAAACACTGGACGCTGCGATGTTTTGATCCCCGGTTAAAGACGAAAACAACTTTACGTGAAAGATTAAATTTTGACCTCTTCCAACGAGATCGCTTGACCCCGGTCAATATTACACTCAATTAACTTGGACAACAGGCTCGTTACTAAACCCCGTATTTGGAAGCAACTCCTGGTCTTGAGTAAATATGCATCCAATAGGCGGCGTATTTCGTTTCGGTTTTCGGTAACCGGCGATACCTGATAACTGCCGCGCCATGGAGGGAGCCCATCCTATGCAGCATGCAACGAGCAAGCAAGGATACAGAAATGTCGTCTGAAGGCAAAAAGAAAATACAAATTCAACGAAGTTGGGCTCCGTGAACCAATGACTACGCCACAGCATATTCAGATGGGTAAATGACAAGCAGAAGGCGATCTCGGGTTTTCCGAACCTTTATATTTTCTTTTCCTTTCCCTTGTTTTTCTTTTCTTTTCTTTTCTTCTCTCCTTCTTGACTTTTCTTTTTTCTTTTTTTTTTTTTCCCCCTTCCTCTCTCTCATTATCTTCTCCCCATTTCTTTTCCCCCATAATTTTACATATGAAACCTCCACCTTGGTGATCGTACGATTCTGTAACCGGGTGACCACCCTGCCAGCATTTTGCGTCAAAGTGGGTTATATTCTGATATTCTATCTTCATGTTATCGCTCTTTGCTAAAGGTAATGCAAGTCATCCCAGACTTCAGAGTTTCCCCCTTTCCCATGGTCATACTAACTCCTCCCAGGGGTGAAAGAATAAAAAGGGGCAATCTTAACACCGTGAGGCTGTTCCGGTGCTTTGGCGACAGGCTGAAGAATTCGGGCCCGGCGAAACGGTAGAATATCTACGGCTGCGCGGGGGTAAATCTTCCCAGCTCTCTGGTCGGAGCCAGAAGCATGGGATCGTTATACTTTCGAGAAGGGGGGTTTGGGTTGGACATGGAACCTTTCGATCACCGGTAGGCAAGTGTTTATATGTAACTAAACAGCGAGTAAGCTAACTAGCTTCGGCGCAGGCATGTGTTGCCCAAGACGGGGCCACGGGATGAATAGTTGAACGAGCTGGCGTGCAGCAGCCGTCGTGTCTGTCATACCTTGTCACTCGATGTTTTTAGTTACGTATCTCCATCCTCTGTGCATACTTTCCATCAATGCAGTCGAGGTTTTAACGAGCCAATAACTTTTGTGACGCTCCAGTGGCCATTCTTGGCCCAAGCGGGATATGCTGCCAACTTGTATATATAATAAAATTATAATTTATAAATATAAAAAATTTATTAAAATAAATTTAATTAAAATAAAATAATAAATATTTTTATATAAAAATAAATTATATTAAATTTTTTATTTTTTTATTTTATTTATAATTTTAATATTTAAATATTTTTTTAATAAATTATATATATATATATATATATATTTAAAAATCAAACTATATTATTAATAAATTAATATAATTTATAAAAAATTATTAAATTAATTTTATAAAAAAAAGTTTTTAAATTAAAATAAAAATATAAAAAAAAAAAAAAAATTAGTAAACTTTAATTATTTTCTATATATTATTATTAAAAAATATCAAGAAAATTTATAAATAGTTTATAAATATATCAAAATATCAAAATAAATTATTAAAGTTACCTATAGGCTATTGTATATATACTATTACCCCCTCTTTCATCTTTTAGTATTTCACTCTATTTAATTCTCATTGTGCCTTGTGAAAAAAAAAAGTTTTTTTTTTTTTTTTGTTTGCTACTTACATGCATAGATCTAATAATCTAGCAATAAGATCACTCAAAGGTATAGTTAAAGTATATAGTTCTCTGCTAGCTTTTATTTGATATTGGGTTATTGCATCAGTCACTCCTCTTATTCTGCCCTTAAGATCAAGTTGGACAGACCCCCTCTCTTCTAGAGAAAGGTATGATATAAAATCTCTCCTACTATTAGGTTCTAGTTCTTATAAAAACTACAGTATCTAAACAGGCAACTTATTATTATATAATAATGGCGACACTCCCGCAACTTACCAGTTCACCCACTATCATTGTAGCTGGAGGGTTCTTTATTCTGGTATGTCGACATCACCATCCTCCCCCTACCTTTTTGTCTACTAGAATTTATTTACCTTTATTTTATTATATTTTATGTTTTTTCCACTACCCACGCTGCGTGTCATCATTTTCATCCGCTTCGGCTGGCTAATTTAGACTGCTCCCCCTGGGTGGGGAAAAGGGCTGCCTATAGTATATCCTGGGAACAGTGATATATAACCTGTTCTTCCACCCGCTCCGGAAATTTCCAGGGCCCAAACATTTAGCGCTATCACGACTCCCAGTTACCTGGGCCACACTCCGCGGACAGCGGGCGCAGTTTCGGCTTCATCTGCACCGCAAATACGGCGACGTGGTGCGCATTGCCAGCGATGAGCTAAGCTTCGCCCATGGGCAGGGCTGGAAGGAGATCTATGGCACCAGCGCAAATGCCAGAGGCACCCGCGCTATCCGTGGTGTCGAAGAGGAGGGTGGTGCCAACTCCGTCGTGACTGCGAACGGTGACGTCCATACACGGCAGAAGAGACTGATGACCATTGCATTCTCGGAAAAGAGCCTGAAAGAAAACGAAGCAACGTTCGTCAAATATGCGGACAAGCTCGTGCAACGCATGGAGGAATCCAGGGGCAGCCCCATGAACATGTCAGACTGGTACAATTTCATGACCTTCGATGTCATCGGCAAACTGCTCTTTGACGAATCTCTGGGCCTGCTGGAAAATTCTAGATATATCCCCTGGGTCGAATCTGTCCAACAGTTCCTGAAGGCATTTGCGATCATAGTCGTACTGAACGAGTACTTGTTTTTCCGGGTGTTTTGGAATCTGGTGCCACACAGCGTTTTGAGTCGCCAACGACAGAAGTTTCTCAATTACACGTCGGACAAGCTCGCAAGATACTTTGATCGGATTAAGGAGGAAAAAGGCAGACATAGCATTCTCGGCAAGCTGCTTGAAGGCGGCATCACAATGCCAGAGCTGCAGCAAAATTCTCCGATCCTTGTTTTTGGTGGGAGCGAAACTGCCGCTACAGTGTTGCGCTGTATGACCTTTCTTTTGTTCAAGAACCCCCGTTGCATGGAAAAAGTGGTCAAAGAGATTCGCACTAGGTTTTCTAGCTCCGAGGAAATCACGTACGATGTTTTGTTAGGCATGGACTATCTCACTGCTTGCGTCGAGGAGTCTATTCGCATGTACACACCATGCACGAATGGGCTACCCCGTGTCGTGGAAGAAGGCGGATCGATGATATGTGGTGAGATGATCCCTGCCGGGACTCTGATATCAGTTGCCGGATTCTCGCTACTTCGTTCCCCTAACTACTATCATTTGCCCGATTCGTTTATCCCGGAGCGCTGGCTCCCTAATGCTCAAAAACTGGATCCGGGATTTGCAAAGGATGATAGAAACGCTTTCCAGCCGTTCTCATACGGAGCACACAATTGCCCCGGTAAAAAGTAACTATCCCCCCCTCCGGCCCAAGATAGCGTGCATTGTACTCTAATACCGGTGACATGTACACGAAAAATATGTGTCTTACTCAACCTTTGCTAACGGAATTAATCTAGGATGGGATATTATGAGATTCGCCTTATAATGACCAAAGTGCTTTGGCATTTTGACCTAGAGCTTGTCCCCAAGGATGGCGGTGCATTGGACAACTGGGACCATATCGAAAACTACCAGACTTATGTGAAGGCACCTCTATGGGTCAAAGCAACACCTGTTAAGCGGGGAAGTGTTTAAACTCTGGTATTACAGCTAATTTCTTTCTTTCTTGCTTTTTTTCCTGCTTTTTTAGATCCTGATGTACTGGCGGTAATTTCGTTCGTTATCAGCGGTCTATTATACGGACTTGACTTATTTGCTGTCAATAATGAAACGCTAGATCCGGATAACTTTCTAATAACATGTTATGATGATTTCACAGCAATCATCCTGGGGGTACTGAAGTTGTCGGAATCGGTGGGCAATTCTGCCAAATAATACAGAAACACTATAGATCCGAACTTGGGGGTATAAAAAGGAAGAACTTGCTATAATAGAAAATGCCTTGTCTGGGAAGCGAGTGCAAAGGTAGTCATCGGCATTCAATGCATGCGGATTAATTAACGATATTGGTCACATGAACAGGCCACCATGCCATTCAATAACATTATGATATAACGTGTTTCGGTATTATAAGACGAGGGTAACAAGTAGAAAAGCAAGGAATTCAACCCAGCTAGTGATAGGGATGGTACTATTCAAACCAATCAGGGATCACTACTTCCCCGGTGAGGGCAGAAGTATTCGCTTGGCCACCTTGGGCGACATCCAGCTGGAATTCACGTACCAATTGGTCCCAATCTGACCAAGACGGGGAAGCAGAGGACAAGATGCTAGTATCAACCTGCGTGATCGCCGCCGGATCTGCCCACTGGGGTTTCTAGAGCGGTGCCCAATTGTGGTATGGTAGTAAAATTATAGTTCTGGTTTAAGAGTAGTATTGTCGACGTGCATGTCTGAACTTAAATTGGAATAGCTAGATGGTTCACGCAAGTATTGTGGTGGTGAGGAGGAGGAGGTCAAGTATGTACTAGAAGGGTCCGTGGACGGAGTAGCTGCACATGAGCCTGGGATATCAAGGTCTTGTTTTCCGCGCTGCAGAGTAATTTGGTGAAGTTGCTTTTCTCGGAATTTCACCGCTCTTGCCATCAGCTTGCGAATGGCTGGCCAGAGCATACCGTTCTTTTTCTCAGAGTGCATATTCCAAGCCTCGTAGACCGAATTGATTGCTCTCCACGCACGGTCAACACCAGGGCAGAGTGGCCTGACGCATAGCTCGGACAGGAGAAAAGCAACTGCATGCCACTGCATGTGCGTCCTGAAAAGCCAGCCCCACTTCGCCGTATTAACATTCGTTTCCAAAAGTCGAGAAAATTCAAGGATTTCCACGGATGTCATCAGAAGCCGGTCATGGGTTTCTTTGGCTATAGGGTTGGGTTGAGATTTCTGAACCATTGGTTGATGTATCATAAGCCATAATTTTGCAATTACCAGCCGGGAAACAGTGGCGCAGACCCAGTGGATAGGGATAGTCATATCACAGTGCCGAACAAATCGCGTCTCAAGGTTAGAGCTGAGCTTGTCGATTAGTTCTTCTCTCTCAGCCATGGAGTAGCGAGAAACCTGTAGCCTGCAAGAAGAACTGGGTGGGATAAAGCTCAGCCTCTTGTTGACGACAACAATCTCGCACCGAATCAGAAAGAATGATGTTTCGACGCAGCCTTCTTTCGCTTCCGGGAAATCCACAGAATCCGGAGAAATGTCGCCATCATCAATGTTCAAGGGCATGCGAGTGTCATATGAAGATTCGTATATGAACGGATCACAGCCATAGTCTTCAGATGCTCGGAAATCAAGAATGCAAATATGCCACCATAAACGTCTGCGCATCTCTGTTTCAAAGGGTGATAGGTTGAAACGAGTTCCATCACGCTGAAGGCCTAAACCCTGGGCGATACGATAGGCGATGGATAACATTGACCACACGTAACGAGTATCATCGTGTTGTCTCACGCATAACAAGAATAGGACTAGTCCTTGAAGCAAAGTAAAACTCCTAGAGTGTAAGATTTTTGCCCGACCTAGTGCTTGCTCAACAGCAAAGCGATAACGGCCTAGGACGAGGTCTCGAGGCTCTCCTAGACGAGCGAGACATTCTGCAGCACTCATAGACGCAGCACTTGTGTAGTATATTGTTAGCATCATTACCTCTGTGTTTTTGTCCAACGAATCAAGGTTCTTAGTACCATGATAAAGCGCAGGTTTCAAAGTAGGAGTGTGAAAAATAGGGACCATAGGAACAATATTTTGAATATAAGTTTCCCAAAGAATGTCCACTTGGTTGAGTGGAGGATGAAAATCCCGAAGGCTTTGTGTGAGTGATGAAAATCCGAATAAGAATCCATCATGATTCACACCGTAGGACTCATCAAAGGCGGACTCTTCAACCGTATCGTTTTCATCCTCCGATGAAAGGGGGTCAAGTATGCTTTTTAAATCATCCACCTTGGGACAAGTCAGTATTTGTACAATTAATATTTGTAAAAAGGGGGTTGGTATTGAAAGAAAGAGATATAAACGCACCGTTTTCCCAAAGCTAGTCTAAAATCGATGACTAACATATTGGCTACCTCCCTCTTCAACCATTAATTTGCCCATATTTTCCTCGATTTCACTCGTATCCGGGGCCTCGCTCTTGATTGTAGCATCCTGTTGCATTGCATCTGAGGTATTTGCATAATTTTCTGGCTGTTCGATAGCGCCGTTTTGGTGAATAGTGGGGTTTTTAAATGATAATGATGATGGATTTCCATTTATTGCTTCTGGCCCTCCGAGGTTCTTTACAATATTCTCCAAGGTTCGTAGGCGCGCGAGCAATTCTGTATCTCGGGGCTTTTTTGACTTCCTTGGGGCTCTTCCAGGGCTAGGATACAAACATTCGATCTTTGCCTTAATGCAGTTGGAGCATGGGTGGTGTTTGTTGCAGCGAACCTTTCTGCGGCGACAGGTTACGCAGCTTCTTGGGTTGAGCGACGCCTCTGGAGGAGGGGCCGTTGTAGCCGCCTGGAGGAATGCTGGAGACGTCGAGTCACTAGCGGATTCGTTCTGCTGGAGCTGCGAATCACTCTTCGTTACAACGCCTGCTTCCGGTGAAGTTAGTGCGGTTTCTGAGGCATATGTGTTAGGCGCCAGCTGCTGTGAGACCGGAGCACTCTCTCCAACGTTCTTATCCCATTGTTTCGTAGTCTCCGGCTGGGCCATGCTGGTCAGATGATGGGTCCCTCGGCGTATTGAGATGCTACGGCGGAACCGTTGTCGGCAGTAGGCTCTCCTGGTGATGTGGGGGTGCAGACTGGGGTCGAGCTAGCAGTCGTCTTTTCCGTCCGGTCCTGCTGCCTCCAAGGTTTGGACGTTCCGCACAGGAACAAATTAAGCGCTCTGATTCGCGCTTCGACGGCCGCGGCTGTTCCCGCAACGTCAAGGCAAGACTCGAAGCTTAAATTTATCGTCAGCCGAACTTCTTCGCTTCTCTCTCGAGTGCTTCCAGGTCAGCGCTGAATGTTGTTCTGCTTGCCTTTGAGAAGGCCAATGCAACTTTTCGTATTCTCTTC